ATTTATAAATGGTGGAAAATTTTCACTTATATTACCGAAATTGGGCTTGGAAAGTGCTGTTGTTCTGGTATACAGACAAAATTACTGATTATAATTGAATTTGAAAAATTTAGCTAAATGATTCTGATTTTTTTGGAACTAAACAGTATCAATCAATTTGTTTTCTGTTTTAAAAGTTTATTTTTAATATTTTTTTATTTTCGCATAACTATCTATCATTCAAACTCGAAAAGACTCAGGAAAGTAAACTGTGATTTTTGTTTTAATTACATTTCCTGTCTCAGGTCTACTGGAAGAAATTCCAACAGGAATAAGTAGCACATTTGTACTCTTATTTTATATATATGTATGTGTTATCCTCTGTGCTGTTTGTGTGTACATAAATGATTAAATAAATAAATAAATAAATGTATTGAACCTACTTATTTTGTTATTTTAAGTAAAGTTTGTCCTTGCTCTTTTGCCCTAAACGTCTATATAACTTTATACTATAAACAATAAAAGATATAAACAAACAAATAAGCAACTAATTAATTGTCTTATATACATATATATATTACATTATTTATACGTACATATACCGAATTGAAACTAAGTCCTTTTATTATACCTCTACAAACAACTTAATAATGTTTGTATACAATAAATTATAATTGGACATCTAATGAAAGGGGCTTTGAAGTTATTTTATAACTCAAGTTTCTATACAATGATATATGAATACTTATCTTACGTTTGCCAAGGACATAATAGATGCTAATTGAATAAATTATGATGACGTCACACTCATTAAATGGCCGCCTTAGATTACATAATGTTGAAGGAAAATTACGTGGTGTAGTTAAAGGTTAGTGGGAAAAGAATTAGTTGACATTGTCTTTGTTATAGGTACTGATAATGTTAATGAAACTTTACTTTAAGTTTTGTGTATCAAAGTTCAAATTGTGATGCATAGCGTTCTTAATTAGATTTGTAATATTGGATTTTATTATATCGGCACCATCATTACAAAGATCTTTTCCGATTTCGTTATATAATTTAAGAAAGTAATAGAAACACTAGTACAGTTTTAAAAATGTTTTTGGACCTATATGTAATTGGGCCTCCGGTAACCTTAGGCACACGACGAAACACAACGCAAGTGTTATTTCACGTCGGTGTTCTGTGAGGCCGTGGTATCCCTCCGGTCGAGCCAGTTCATTCGTACCGAAGCATGATTCTCCCACACTTGAAACATTTTTGAACTAATTACTCTTTCTAAGTACGCTTCGTCAAAAGTAAGAAAATATCTAATAAATATTTTAATAATCTTGTCCTAGGGTTAGGTTTATTTCCTATTTTATTTTTGTTTCAAATTAAGAAAATCAAAAACAATATCAATTGGTCTATCTATCGTGGAAAGGACCAATTGATCTCTTCTCGAAATTTATTATGGATCAAATAGGTACTGCTAAAACTAAAACTGCATTCAAAAGTATAATAATTTAAAATCTAGTCTCGCAGTATGATTTGTTAGGAAATGTTCTAGCAAAACGTGCCACAGATGATACCTACCGTCCTTGCTAACAAGAGGTACATAGAAGAAATGAGGGCAAAACAGTTTTAATGTATTATTCATGAATTTTACATTACATGTGAGTTAGTAATATACCTGGGTATTTATCTAGCTCTTAACGGTATAGAGGGTATACATTTTTAATGATGTAAAATAGTAATCGGAAATTAAACTATTTTGGGGTAGTTTAAATTAGGTATACAAATACGATGTATTTTGTGACTGCCTCGTGGGCTGAGTGGTGGCAAGAGCGAATGCTAGGCAAGGGGCTCGGGTTCGATTTCCGGGTCAGGTTTGTGTTGGATAACATAGTATCACGCCTCTTATCCCCGTAGGAGTAGGCAGAGGCGCACATTATGCCACTGTATAATGTAACACCCACTTTTCACTATTTATGTTATGAGTCCCATGTAATAGGAGGTGAGCCTATTGCCATATACCGGACACAATTCCAGACTCCGTGCTACTACTGAGAATTTTTTAAAAACCCAGTAATACTTTGCCCGACCCGGGAATCAAACCCGAGACCCCTTGCAAGGCAGTCGCACTTACGACCATTCGGCCAACGAGGCAGTTTTGTGTTAGATAGTGTATATTATTATATCGAGAAGGGGTATAGCAGAGGTATGGAATAATTCACTTATTGTGATAAACCGTGCGAAGCCACTGACAGAATATAATAATATGTCCATAGTTAACATAACAATGTAGTTTAGTACCAGTAATCAATTAACCTTTATGCCTTAGAGATAAATTATTGTCATGCACTTTAATATATGACATTACAACTAGTTATGATCCAGGGTCTGATTTAATTGAACATTAAAATACCATTTTAATTTTAATAGACAATAAAAATATTTTATAAACACTTATCTTATACTGTTATACATTTAAAGTGTTATATAAAGCTAAAGAGTTTGTTTGTTTGTTTGGACGCGTTAATCTCAGGAACTACTAGTCCCATTTGAAGAATTCTTTTTGTGTTGGATAGCGCATTTATCGAGGAAGGTTATAGGTTATAAAATATCACGCTGCGATCAATAGCAGCCGAGTAGAGCGGGTGAAACTGCTCCAGAGACGCTGGTGTTATATAAAGCAGAATAGTTTGTTACGCTAATTTCAGGAAAAGTGTGGGAGAGCCATGCTTCAGCACGAATGGGCCGGCTCGACCGGAGTGATACCACGGCCTCACAGAAAACTGACGTGAAACAACGCTTGTGTTATGTTTCGTCGTGTGAGTAAGGTTACCGGAGGACCAAATACCCTCCCCTTCCCCAATCTCCCCAATTCCTGAATCCCCAACGATCCTCAAACTCCTAATCCCCAAAAGGCCGGTAACGCACTTGTAACGCCTCTGGTGTTCCAGGTGTCCATGGGCGACACCGATTGCTTACCATCAGGTGATCCGTCTGCTCGTATACCGGCTATTGCCATAAAAAAACGACTGGTCCGATTTGAATAATTCTCTGTGTGTTAGATAGTGCATTTATCGAGCCGAAACGGAAGAAGTCGCGGTGACTTCAGTGTTGATCACAAATAAACAATTTACACTACCTGTACCTATAGTGTTACACAATCATTATTATGTATATTCCTTGGCCATAAAATTACGCTATATAGCTTACTGCTACAGCATATAATAAAGTACACGAACAGACCAGGTTAGAAAGGTCCTTAGTTTCTTTGCGTCTCGAAGGACCAAAGAGGTCGACAAGGATTGGACGTGCAATAAGATTGATGGTCTGTACACACTGAGTAAAACCAGTTTATCGTGAACTCACTTTGTATGAAATTTTCGCACATTCTAATACCAGTTTACACTGAAATTGCGTAGCTTGATTTGTAGCTGTATGTACGATGGTCTATATTGTAACAGCTGTTCTGACATTATTTACTGTCAGGTTTCTTTAGTTATCTCTAAGGATGGGACCTTCTGTTTATTTATTGGCGTATTTATGAACATTTGTTAAATGATTTGTGTCTTTATATGCTCAGTTTTGGTGGTCGACGTGAGGGAGTCTGCCATAATTTCTATGTCGCAAGGACTGGTCGGCGATCGTGGACTTTGACTACTTCATTAAGGTTTAGTAATACTGGCAATCATGACGACCCAACAAAGGATTTCAAGTTCCTTTCGCATTTTGAACTGCTTAGCAGTAGCTTAGATTGTTTCCATATTTGTAAACCTGATTGTTCTTCGTTCAAGTATAAGAGCTCAGAGACATATGAACTAATCTCTTAACACGTGAAATGCTATGGGGGTCACCGGTGACCGATTAGCGAATGAATTGCCTTCAACAGTTTTCTATTGGCAGTCAAAGTTTTAAACACCATAAGTATGTACTTATGGTGTTTAAAACTGCTGATGATGTCATCAGCAGCCTGAAGACGTCCATAGCTGAACAAAGGCCTCCCTCTTAGTTCACACGTACTTCCTCGCCACTTACTACATATACTAGTTCCTCGCGACATCACAGTACTTCAAAGAAAATATTGTAATGGTGGTGGTATTCATATGAATGACGTCACTCAAGGAAAGAGAGTAGCAATGAAATTTCTCGCACCCGGATTTAGGATGCTATGCGTGGTCACAGCCGTAAATTACTTGCAGCGAATGCGTCACATTAGATCTAAGGACGTGCGCACAATTGCGATTGTTATAAAATAAGGGTAGAGGTTCTATGCCACACTCACTTTTACCAGTTATGTTATGCCCTATTCGACCAAAGAGGCGATATGTGTCTTTTGTTAAAATGGATTGTTATTTTAGCATATTGCCTAGGTGTCACAAAAAAAACTAATAATTTCTTTAAAAAACGAACAAGACGGGGTTTATCTAAACGTCCCAACATGCGACAAACTTCACGTGTCTAAACTAGGTATTACTCTCATTAGGCATGCAAGTCGTGCTTGCTATTCGTCGATCGACAAATGTTTTCCATTATTTATTAGTGTAACGGGATCTGCTTTTGTTCTTTGAGCGCACACTTGCGACTAATTTGTCGATCATTTTGTTTTCCGCTAAAACCGTCTTGGTGCACATTTACATTGATACACTCATTTTCAACACTATTTTTATAAGTCCATCACTTATTCAGGGGGTGAACTTTCAATCTTCTACTCGATTCTATAGAAGTTATTTAATTTTACATTGCAAATTGATGATCGTCAGTTTTAGTTTTGTATACATTTGCGATTAATCGATGCGATTAGTTGTAAGTGTGAGTCGAACTATAGATTCAGTACCTTAGTCAGAGCACATACTCTAGCTAGAGCCCCGAAGGTTATCACTTCTGACGACCAGTAGTGTTATGACAGAAAAATTCAATAAAACTATGTGGGTACTTTGTATATCGTTTTAACGCAGATAATAAGCGTTCCATATAAAACGATGAGTGAATAGTTCGCCCTTATTTTGTGAAAAATAAACGAAGCAAGAACAATGTTTAGTTTGAGTATAGTACCAGTTTTTGTATTGGTTTTGTTAAATCCAGGTGAGTGAAGGTTTTGTTTTAAATGGTGATCAGCTTATAAAAGCTTTTGGTATATATGTGCCTATGTATAAAGGTGTAGTTTTTAGAAATCATATGTTCATGAATGTTGTACTTGCTGTCTATCAAAATGTAACTACGTAACTATTCAATCGTATCTTTTGTGTTCATCGCCTAAGAAATAAGTTTTATTAGACTAAAATATTGTTTATTTTCCAGTATCACCTTTTGACTTTGGCTTCCCAAATATCCCAACAGTAGAAGATATTCTGTACGGACCCGAACCTTTCGATAATCGGATCGTTGGAGGTCAGAATACCACCATAGAAGAGCACCCCTACCAAGTGTCCTTTGTTGTGAACAACTCCTTCTTTTGTGGAGGGTTCATTGTGAGTGAGAATTATATCGTGACTGCAGCCCATTGTGCTCAAAAGTAAGTATCTATACTTAGACCAAGTTCGATGTTTTAAATGTTTGTGAACAATCCATAGAACTAAGACTGTCTTGTCAATTCGACTGCCTGCGGTCACACTCCGCTCAGTAAGAAGCATAGAAAAGTGTTATTTGAAGTGCTGATTGATGATAAATATGGCAGTATCTTCCTATCTAATTGTACTTTTAACAAAACAGCGTCGACCCATCGACAGTCGTCCTTAGAGCTGGGAGCACTTGGAGAAAAAATGGCACAATTATACCCATTGCTGAAGTGATTGCTCATCCAGAATATGACAACCCAGCTTTCGACAAAGACGTAGCGGTGATGAAGACGGCGGAACCAATCACTTTTACTGACACCATAAAACCGATTGCATTACCGAAAAAAGGAGAGTATTTGAAAGAAAATTCCATGATTATGGTCAGCGGATGGGGGAAAACTAATGTAAGTTTGAAGCTCTTCGGTTTTTCTGTCACAGGATCTGTATGTTAGGTTAAGGCGTCTACAGAGACAGCCGCATTTCACGTGCTTCAAAGAGGCGTCACATCATCACAGACAGGGTACCTCAGTAAGGTCAATGCCTGTCAAGATCAAGCCCGCGACTAATCACTTACCGTGGCACTGGCTAAAGTTGGAATGGGTAGTTTTTGGTCCTTTTATAAATTTCTATCTTTATTGTTATAAATTTCATTTTGTTAAATGGTATCAAGTACTTTTGAAGATCTAAGAAGGCTTCATCCTGGCCCCAAGTATTTTTGATGAACCAGTGATATTTTTGCTAATATTATATGAAATATGAACCAGACTTCGTTCTAAAATTGCGACAAGGCCATTCGCTAAAATGTACCGGTGACCTAACTACAATCCCCAAGTCACCTGCCAAGTGTGGGAATTACAATTATGGTAACCCTTTCACTATGACGTAGAGGCCTGGGGAGTGCACTTATTCAGCAGTGAACGTCTTATGGCTGATGATGATGATGTATGAAATATTGTATGGCAATTTCAGCAAGCAGATAACACAATACCAGAGAACCTAATGGACGTGGAGATTCCTGTGGTGCCGTACTGGCAGTGCCTTGCGGTGTACTTCACGGTGCTCACGAGGAACATGTGGTGTGGAGGCAACTTCTATCTTGGTGGCAAGGGAACGTGTCAGGTAAGAATTTTAAATTTGGTCACATACAGCTATCGTCCAAATCGAGATTAAAGGACGTGACGTTATATCTATGATCACGTTTGTTTTTAATTAAAAATAACTTCGAACAAACGAATTATTTATTTATTTTAGGTAAAACAAAGATTATGAAATGGGAACGGTTAATAGAGTTGTTATTTATGCTTGCGTTGAATTACTGTGGTATGCTCCTTCTATCCGAAACTACGGTTTCGTGTTTATGTTAGCAATAACCGTACAAAAATTGTGTTAATTATTGATCAAGTTTTGATTAATGGACAGTATGATTTGGTTATATTACTTATTTTTATTATTATAGACTAGCTTCTGCCAGTGAATTCGTATGCGCAATTCTAGAGGTATATTTTACCGTTCCCTGGATCCTTGGATAAAAGCATCGTATGACCGTCTCCTGGGTTCTAAGCTCCTCCAATCTTCAGCCAAATCGATGTTGCCGTTCTTGAATCTAACTTGCAATAATGTAACTAACACGACATTCTTTTATATAGATTTTGCGAATCACTTTATCAAACTTATTTCACGAATGTGTTTACAGGGTGACTCTGGTGGTACGGCTGTCCAGAACGATCAGGCAGTGGGTATCGTTTCTTTTGGCCGAGGTTGTGGCCAGCGGTTCTCGCCGAGCGTCTTCGCCGATATTGCCGCGCCCCCTATAAGGGACTTTATCACTAAACATACGGGATTGTAAGCATCATAATAGAAATGGCAAGGCCTATGGCAAAGTTTACTAAGTACATAATTAAGTTTATTTATTCTTGTTTTAAGGCTAAGAATATTTATTTATCATAAATGAATTTGCAGAAAGTGTCGCTTTTCATTGTGACTCCAATTCTTAAATGTTATAAGGTTTCTTATAAATAGTGAAAAGTGGGTGTTACATTGTACAGTGGTATAATGTGCACCTCTGCCGACCCCTTCGGGGATAAAAGGCGTGATGTTATGTTATGTTATAAGGTTTCATAGTTAATGTTGTTAGTTGTTGTTTAGTCAATTATCTAGAGGTAGAAATTATTTTACTCAGAAAAAATTGAATCACCTTATCTGGCTTACAATGTTTTGAAGGCATCAATTTATGCAATTCCACGCGCGCTCATTCGTTTCATTGTTAACATTGTGTTTAACTGAACCCCTGAAATTAATAAGAGTGCTCCAAAAATGGTTTAACTATGCCAAGTTTAATTTTAGATACCATTTGAGGATTTCTTAATTTTTGATTATTTAAAAATTTTAATTTCTATACACACTTTGAACCGTTTTGTAATGTCTGGTCCTATACCTACATTGTTACCATTCGATTCGATTCGATACGATTCGGAGTCGCGGAGAACCTAACGGTTAACCGGGGCTCCGGCTCGACGTGCAGGAGAAGGAACGGGGTGGTTTTTAGTCAGTAAGAGTCTGACATTCTCTCCCGCCTCACCCAGGCGGGAGCAGTCATTCGATGATTTTCCCCCCTTAAAAAAAATACCTACATTGATTTTTCTATTAATTCGATTAGACTAATAACAATATCAGTCTTTAGAACAGCACTTAAACGATTTCTTGAAAAAAACTTCAGTCATAGTCACATGTGGAGATCACGTGGCAATCATCTAATCATGTTTAATCATACATTTGGCAGGGAACATCGTCTCTTCAAGGTAAAAGTTAACTGCTAGTCATCATGACTTTAAATACTTGGGTATTTGTAATTACCTACTATATATCCAACTAGCGGACCCAACAGACGTTGTCCTACATATTCACTTGAATGTATAAACAAAAATTCATTCAAATTAGTTCAGCTGTTTAGGATAAATGACTTAAACATTAACTGCATCGCCATCTACCAGCTGATTTGTGAGTCTAAATCATTCCCAGATCCCCTTAAAAACACCAAAAAATTTCATCAAAATCGGTCCAGTCGTTTGAGAGAAGTTCAGTGACATACACGCTCACAGAAGAATTATATATATAAAAGATGTTTCAGCTGGTGGAATAATGTCTTAAGTAACGAATAGTGTAATTTAAGTTTCACCACGATAACTTAAAGTCTCGTCTATATTCCACAAAGGAGTAGAAATGTGGAAGAGTGAGAAAGAGAAGTGGGAAAAATGCTTTACCGCTAATGAGGTGGGTCAAGCAGCGTGATATCACGGCTACACAGAAAACTGGCGTGAAACAACAAGTATAGGGTACTGTTATGTGGGATCTTGGAGACAAAAACTATTATTTCGATTATTGGAATTTTAATAAAAAAAAAATATAAAATACAGAGTTAGAAATAGAAAGTGTCCACATCAAAAACGCTTAAACCGAACTAATTCATACATCGCCGGAAATGCTTACGAGGATTTTCAATTGACGTCAATGCATTAAGTAAAACGAAGTAAACAACTGAAGCTGGCTCAGCGGTTTACTTAGCCTTGGTATAGCAACGTGATGCTGATATAACAGCCCCCCCGATAAGACTGATCATCACAGATGAAGTGATGAGAAAGATACAAAACTAAGATTTTGATATGGACATTACAATAAAAAAAATTAAGAAACCAATAGGTATAGAAATTAAAACTAAACAGTTTACATAACTTAAATTTAATACTAAATTAATAAAATAATATAAACTTTATGCCTGTGCTCTCCAAAAGTGAGGCAGATATAGAATTTAAACTAATAATAAGTAAACAGTATATATATATTTCATATATTTTAATATATCTATTTATTTTTTTTTTCTTTTAGGAATATGTCTACTAAGTAGGTATTAAAATAAATAAAAAAAAAAATAAACATTAGCAACACACAACAAAAAATAGTAGTTATTACTACTTCATAATGTTTCGTTTAATCGGAACTGGTAAAGACTTGGCTGAGACATTATCAACTTCAACTTCTGAAGAGTCTGAATTATAAGCAACATTCACAACATGATTGTTTGAGCCTTTTGACTTACTGTAATTTCTATTGTAAATTTTGATACAACAACCTGGACTTCTAGAACATAGATATTTTCTAATTTTAAACAAAAAGTATATTACACAAAACAATAAAATAATATAGATCAATGAAAGATAATGCATACTGTACATTTCTAAATGAGAAGGCTCTCCAATATCGTCTAGTTGTTTTTCGAAGTCGGTTAAATGTGTACTTGCTTTTAACAAGGACTCAAAACTATTAAATTCGTTTAATTTAGTAAGGGGGACAACATGTAAAGTTTTATTGGACTTTAAACTATTACAACAATCATCAGTTAATATGTTAAAATCAGATACAACAGTTGTAAAGTTAGATGTAATACTATCAGTTGGAACAAATGTTAAAGTTTTATAAAATGCTTTACAAGATTTAGGAAGATGTAAAATTCCTGTACCTGACAAGACTTCAACGTGATCTTTCATGTCGCCATCACACATTATATGGCCTTTACTCGGTTCTGATTGAACAAAAATCCAACGGTTATTAGAAATTTTATGAAACAATTCGATAGACCCGCGTAGAATTCTTGTTTGGCAGGAATTTGGTAATTTGTCGATGACATCTGTTAACAAAATCGTTTCACAGGTAGGATTTGCAATAGTTGAATAAACGTTTGTTAAAACACACACGTAACACTGATTTTTTATCACTTTGCACTCACTAACACTTTCAAATTGTGAGTAAAATAGACGGTCTGCTGTTATTGCCAGATATTGTTTACTTGGAGCAATTAAGACATAAGTATCAGGAGTTTTATTATCTAGGAAATAGGTAAAGGTATATTTTGAAACAGATTGTAAATTTGTGAAAGAACTAGCGGTATCTTTAAGATAAGAATTAACTTGTTATCATGATAGTAACATACGATGTCGGATATATTTATTATTTTACTAATGTTTTGTAGAGATAATAGAATGGGCAACTCAGCATGTCGGGGCAGCTGATTGTAATGTAACTCGAGCTCCTTATACAATTGCATGGGACTTAGTACAGTCGGGTGCAATACATTTATTTTACTAAACAAAATAGCATTATTTATATCATCGATGTCGAAAGATAAAGTTATAATAATACTCTCTAAAGAGGTAAGTAGTAATGTTAATTGAGACTTTATTTCCAATTTATCAGTCGTATTTAAAAGCTTGCTAAAAGCTTCGTCAATTTTATACAGATTTTGATTCAAGCGGTTCTCGTTATCTTTAACTTTTGTCATCGTATTATTGAATGTAGAAATAGTAGACTTAATCACGTGAATGTTATCGCGCATTAAAATAGTTAATTGTTTTTCGTCTGACTGTACTTTGTTTATGGCGTTCGTGAATTTGTGTGCGTCATTTGAATCTAAAGTTCCGAAGAGAGTTTTTAATAAGGAGCCGCCTGCATCGATTAAGCCACGTTTTGAACGTTTAACTTCGCTTACTTGGACTAAATACGAAATAGATGAAAATTTCTTAACATTATTGTTATGTTGTAATTTAAGTGAATTTAGCGTGTTTAAACAATCAGACTTAACTTGAGATGAGGATACAGAGTCACAATATTTGGATGACCTATCAAATAAAAATTCTACATTTTCTAAATGTGGTTGTATATGACTAAGGTCTATGTAAGTTACTACATTCCAATGATCATTAGTAAATTTTACGTCTAATAACTGATCAAAATACAATCCGGGACTGTTTGAAACTTGTGTGACAAATTGATCTGCGTAAGCTGACACCAAACATCTGTAAACAATAGATAAAATTGCATGATATTATGGGATTTTATTATTCGAAGGCGGGTTTAATTTCGTCATAGTGATGACGAATATGTTTTCGGCCAACTTGTACCGTGACAGTATGATTACCATTTATCTTTATAATTCTGTAAGGGCCTTTCCACATTGGAGATAATGCTTTATTTTGTTTGTGGTGGCATCGAATGTATACCATATCACCGACATTATAGGTTACGGGGCGAGAATGGGAATCATAATACTGTTTTGATCGTTCTTTAGATTGCTGAATATTTTGCAACGCTTTTTGTCGACTATAGTATAGTCTGTGACTAAGAGCTCGCACGTAATCTGTATAAGTGTTGTTCTCAAGGGTATCAATGGATTTAGGTATATATGGTTTATAACCGAATATGAGCTCAAGTGGGGCGAAACCCGTAGTGGAATGTATGTTTGAGTTATATGCTAACATTGCAGTATTGATATACAAATCCCATGTGTGTGAGTTTTCTTCTATATAGGATCGTAAATATGCTTTCAAAGTCGAGTGGCTCCTTTCTAACGCACCACAAGTTTGTGGGTGATACGGAGATGCAAAAATATGTTTGATTCCGAACAGTCGCTCCAGCTGTTTGAACACTTCGGAACAAAAGTTAGTGCCTTGGTCAGTTACGATGTTTCGCGGTATTCCTAGGTGAGAGATAAAATGAACCAAGCGTTGTGCAGTTTCTTCTGCGGAACATGTTTGCATTGGATAAGCCTGGGAATATTTGGTGAGATCATCTTGGAGTGTCAGAATAAATTTATATTGGTTGATTCTAGTTTCGGGAAGAGGACCCACTATATCAAGGTATAATTTTTCATTTGGTCTAGTAGCTGTGGAAGTTATGATCATGGGAGCTTGATTAGAATGTCGTAATGGTTTATTAATTTGGCACGATTTGCAATTTTTAACATAGTTTTCTATATCTTGGCGCATATTTTTCCACCAATAAAGAGATTTTAATCTT